AAAAGACATCATCCGGTGATCTGTTTTCTTTCAGCCATCCCATCTCTGTCTCGGCTCTCTCCTTGTGGGAGGCTTGAAAATACAACCGAGAGAGATGATCGTCAGGACCAGTCTCTTCATCGTGATGACGGTCCATCATGATGAAGGTCACATTCCGATTACACCCGTCTTCTCTTTGTCTTTTATGTACACTAACATGTCTACTTCAGTCAAGCCCCAATGAAGAAAGCACATTGGCCAGGCCAACCGCTCTGATTGGCTCGTCTATAAGAGGGCTAATCCGAGTGGGCAGTGGGGCAGGTCATCTGGTTCACTAACACCTGCTGCTCTCACTCTCAAGGCATTATATCAAGTAAGCTGATACAAACCACAGAAAACTCCCCAGGACAGGACTACCCGGGCTCCAACAACCACCATCAACCTCGACGGGAGCTTCGCCTCTTCTCGTTACGAGTCGTTTCGAGGTTGGGGGCTCATGACAGGTCTTTGCCACCCCCGGATCACCAAAGCGTGGTGGATGCTTTGCTGAAGAGAAGCCACCACAGCCCGAGTGGTTGCCCCAGGTTTTTATTTTGTCTCAAGACAAGCCAGTCCTAGTTCCCCACGTTTTTTGCTTGTGCCCTGTGTAGCTTTCTGTATCATATGCCGATTTTTGTGCCTACCCTATCAGTTTTTGTGTGCCCTATTTTTCTATCTTCCCCTCTTTCCATACATACGCACATGGCACATCATTCATGGTGGTACAACCACAACTTCCAAGAAACAATCCCTTCCAAAACCTCCAAGTGACCCAGACTGTGTGTGGGAGTCCACTATCATGGGCGTACAGTACGGATTTGCGGCGCTAGACATGGGGTAGGCACGGAACCACACGGCTCACACCCACGAGGGGGGAATGGAATCCACCAACCGAACGACCCGTCAAGGTTCACTGGCCGAGAAACCCCGCCGCTGGTCCGACCCGAACAGACGGCGGCCATCATCATCATCATCGATAGCTTTCACAATGATTATGAGATTCATTGTGTGGATTGACTACCTATCCTCTAGTATAGTTCGGCTCTCCTCAACCTCCTGTACCTTCCGGGCTCCCCCTTTTCCGCCGGTTCAACTAGATAACCTTATGTAGTTGTTGTAGTTTTTTGCGCGTGTAACCCGCTCCCACATGTTTGTTGCACCACTTCTACATACACACACACGCACACACACACACACACACACACACACACACACACACACAAAACAACCAATTGTGACACAAACACACACCTCTCTGGCTGCTTGCTTTTACTGCAACGAACCGGGGCCCGGAAAACGGAACGGGAGTGTCAAAGAAAAAAAGCCATGGTCTTTTTACCAACCCCCGGACATCCGGTTATCGGAAGGAGGGGGGAAATAGCACCCCCAATTCCGCCGCGGCCGAGGAATTGATGGGGGAGGGGAAGGGGAAGGGGGGAGCTCGTGATAGGTCCACACCCGCGCACCAGCGACATGCAGGTAAATCCCGCCCGCCATTTCACGGCAGGCAAAATGTGGTGTTGTTGATAGGATGCACTGTTGCTGGTGCTTTTGTTCTCGTTGGTTAGAGAGGGCGGGGACATTTGTTTCAGGTTGGGGGCGTGTTGTGAGTGGTTTGAGTAGGGTTGTTGTACTTACTATACTGTGAGGTGTGTATAGGTGAGGGAATTCGTGCAGTGCTGTTCTGTGTGACCAGCCTCTGATATACTCGGGAGGGGATATGTTGATCGTTCATTGCCCGTTGCCGTTGTTGAAGACGTATTGTCTGCAGGCCTGTGGGTGTGTCAGTATGTCAATCTTAAAATCAAATCAAGTAAATGTAAACAAACTCACTGCTTTGAGTGTATTGAGCTCCGCCGAGGACTGATGGTATACTGTCCTGTACTGGTGTATGTTGCTCTGCAGAAACTCTTGCTTGGTCGACCTGCCCTCGCAGATGGCTTTCATCATGAGCTCCGTCTCCTTTCGTAGAAACGGCTTCCCAAGACTGATCTCGAAGCTCATCCTGTCGAAACCCATGATAAGGGCAACTCCGAGACTGGTCGGGATAAACTCCTTGACACCATCACCACCCCCTCCTCCCCCAGCACCACCGCCTCTCGCCCCTCCTCTCCCGCCACGAGCAGCTCGGCCACCCCTCCCCCTTCCTCTCCCACGGCCTCGCCCAGCAGCAGGAGGAGGCTCATTATCTTCCTCGGCACCACCAGCTCCTCCCACTCCCCCCCTCGGCACCGTAACCACATATTGCCTCTCCTGAATCTTCTCAATGTGCTCCGCCATCGTGGCATCCGTCCCAATCCCATTCGCATCCATCAACGCAATCAGATCCGCCTCGGTCAAGTAACTCGGCGGACTCGTCTTCCCCTCCGTCATCATGGCCTCGGTCGGCTCAAACCTCTCCCCCACCTCAAACTTGGGCAACATGGCCGTCCCCGTCCAGTTTTCGTAGGGGTACACATCCAGATAATTCCTCTCCAGCACAATAACCCCATGCGCAGCAAACATCTCCTCCCCATACCCCACCTCCACATCCGTCGCCATCCCCTTGGCATCATCCGAGCAACAAGCCAAAAACCTCCTCACCACCAACTCATACACCTTTCTCTCCTGCTCATCCAGCACCGTCGGCGCCGCGCAGGTGATAGGGTGGATAGGCGGATGAGCCTTATCATCATTCTTCCCCTGCCTCGGCTGGTTGAACCTCCCCCCCTCAATCAACTCCCTCGCGAAAGCCCCCCACCTCCCATCAGGAAACTGCTTCTCGACCAACCCCCTCAGGTTCATCCCCTTGTCAAACCTGTCCGTCTCCGTCCTCGGATAAGAGATAAACCCCTTGTTGTACAGCTTCTCCGCCACCGTCATAGCCTGCTGACCCGTCATCCTCAAAAACCTCGTCGCCATTTTTTGTAATTCCACCGTCGTAAGCGGGAGAGGCTTCCACTTTTTGGTGGGCTTCTCCTGAACCTTTTTCACCACCGCCTCCCTCGCCCTCAGGCAGCGTTCATACAGAATCGTCACCGCCGCCCGATCAAACAGTCGATTCCGCGCCCAGCCAAAGCTCACCTTCATCCCCTCCCTCTCGTGAACAAGCTTGATACTCCAAAACGCCTCGGGAACAAAATTCTTGACCCGAAAGTACCGATCGACGACAAACCCCAGAGTGGGAAACTGACAAGACCCATAACTGATCATCAACTCCCCCATCGGACCCCCCAACCCCCGCAGGTTATTCGTCAAGAACCTTGTGAAAGCAAACCCGATCCTCAAATCCAGCTCAATCCTCGCCGCCACGGCATCAACCTGCCGCTGATCCAGCGCCACCAACCTCCTCGCCGCGCTGAGTATGTGCCCCCTCTCCACGTTTGAAAACCGCGCTCGCCTGACCTGGATGTTCCTGTTCCCCTTGAGCGCGGCGTCGCGGATTTCGGAGCCGATGTGCTCCCCCTCGCGGTCGCAGTCGGTCCAGATGATGAGGACGGAGGAGGACCGGGCGAGGGTTTCGATGTTGCGGGCTATGGCTTTGCAGTCGGGGGTTGTGACGGTGGTGATGGGGGCGTCGAAGAGGGAGTCGGGGGGTGGGTGGGACCAGGATTTGTAGGTGGGGGGGAATTCGGCGGTGGTGAGGTGGCCGCGGACGGCGGTCATGGTTACGTTGGAGTCGCCCAGGCCGGGGCCGAAGTTGAAGGTGAAGGAGTAGTTTTTGGTGTATTTGTCTGAGGTGTTCGCCTGATGGAAAGTTAGCAAAGGGTGGCGTGAGACGGGAGGGGGGAAGTACGGTTTGATATTGGCCTCCGGAAAGGTGTTGGGCGACTGCTTTGGCGATGGAGGGCTTTTCAGCCACGCAGAGGACGCGTGTCATGATGTTGTTGGGTTTTGTGTCGATGGTTGGTTCTTCAGTTTTTGCTGATGAGGTCTTGGTGGAAGCCTTCGATATCTTAGTCGATGAAGTTGGTGACGATTTGGTTGTTTTGGTTGAAGTTGGTTTCGTAGTTTTTGCCGTGGACTTTGCTAGTGAAGGAGAGTGAGTGGAGAAGGAGAAGAAGAAGAAGAGAGCAGAGCTGCAATTGGCAACATGAGATTGAATGTTGGATGAGACTCCAAATCTAGACTTCATCAAATTGTAGATATGATGTGCTCTCACAACCGAGTCGCGATGAGAGGAAAGCCTGCTCAAGACTCCAACCTGCACGTATAAGCTCCTCTTCGTGCCTTCCATAAGAGGCAGCAGTCAACACTGGTTGACAGCTTTCCTCGGGTTCAGATAATCTCATCTGATGAATTTGACTTTCATGGATATTAGGCAACAATCCCGCCTTTTCAGTTCACGAGGCCTGAATGGGGTGGTGAACCGAGTTGAGATGTGAAATTTCATGAAATACATGCGCGAACGTGATGTGAGCCCAAACTCGATATGCAACTAAGCGAACTTAAAGTAAATACACGATACCACGTAAGAATGGAAACCTTTCGAAGGGCAATCGCGTCTTGGCGGCTTCCACACCACGCTAAACCGCCCCTAACCCTGGGCGATCCAAGCGTTTCACAGCCCAACACCAGATCGTTGCCGCTGGATGTGATGACGCTCACATCAGTTAGTTGGCCACTCATCAAGCAGGTATAACTTGACTTCCCAGTACCTATCTCATGTTGCAACTGAGGAAGCAAGTCATATCCGGTCACTGAGTACACATCCGAGTCAACAATGGCGTTTCCAACCATCAAAGCGCTCGAAGATTGCGCCGACTTCTCCAAAACGGTGGAGCCGTTTATCCCCCAGCTTTACACTCTGCCCAGCAAGGTGCTTGATGTCATTGCACGCCGTGAGGGTCTCCTGGACCTCTACGCAGAAACCAACCCACTCATATCTGGATTCGCCATCTCGATAGTGCTGGGTGCTATCTTCCTGGTTGCCGCCGAGATCAACCGCAACTATTCACAAGTTGACCGGGCATGGAGTTTGTTGCCCACCATCTACATTGCCCACTTCAATGCCTGGGCCCGTTTGGCAGGAATTCCCAGTCAGAGACTAGACGCAGCGCTCTTCTTCAGCGCTGCATGGAGCGTAAGTTACACCGTCGCTCATGGGGTCAGCTCAGAAGTGCTAACAACATGATGAAGGCTCGACTCACCTTCAACTACTGGAGAAAGGGCGGCTATAGTGTGGGATCGGAAGACTACCGATGGTGTGTGTACTCGCAAGTCTTTTGACCTTTATAACGGCTTACTAATTCCGGGCAGGGAAATCATCCGTCAATATGTCCCCAAAGCTGCCTTTCACGTCTTCAACTGGACCTTCATCTCCTTCATCCAAAGCATCCTGCTTTTCGCCCTCGCAGCCCCCGCCTATCCCATCCTGCTGGCATCTCAGTTTGAGCCCAACCTGACCAGCTCCGACATCGCATATACGTCTGTCGAGCTCTTGTTGATCCTCACGGAGTGGATCGCCGACCAACAGCAGTGGGAGTTTCAGTCTGCCAAGCAGCAATACCGAAAAACCGCCAAGGTTCCGTCAGGCTTCAAGCGAGACGACCTCGATCGTGGCTTCATCACGACGGGCCTGTGGAGCTACTCGAGGCATCCCAACTTTGCTTGCGAGCAGACCATCTGGTTTGTCCTGTATCAGTGGAGTTGCTATGCCACAAGGAACTTGTACAGTTGGGCTGGCGTGGGTCCTTCCTTTCTGATCATGCTCTTTCAAGGGTCGACGTGGCTCACGGAGCTCATCACGGCGGGGAAATACCCAGAGTATAAGGCGTATCAGAGACAGGTCGGCATGTTTGCTCCAACTTGGATCACGGGCTACAAGGTACCGCCAGCAAAGGCACCCAAGGTGATCCGCACCAGCGAGATCGCCAAGCAGATTGAAGAGAAGGAAAGACGGAAACAGAAACAGAAACAGAAGTGAGGTCTGTGTCAGAGGTCAGTATATGCAACCTTTCTACTACGAGACTTCAAAAGTAGATTGATGGGGGCACAGCAGCCGTCAGGGACGGGCCGGTCCAGATGGCCAACGATTCTGCATCTTGATGCCCGTCGCGGACGAGACCCGAGCCCAACAGGGCTGCAATCCTACCGTTCAGACGAGCGGCGGCAGATGAGCTGTGCAGATGAGATGTGGGGAGGGGTGGTGCGCAGGTGATCTTCTTTCAGGTGGAACATGAGAATATTATCGTTAATCACAGTGTAAATTACCGACCACGCCTTGGTCCACCACTTTCCGACTCAGGTGACCAGAGCTCATGTCCGTATTCTTGATTATCCACAGACAATTGACACAGAGAGAAACAAAAAACAAACGAAAAAAAAAACATCAGGCATCACCACCTTGAGGCCATATTGGGCTGGGAAACCAGCTGAAGATATCCATTCTCAGGCATCGTTCTTCTTCGCCAAAGCACTCCGGCTTTTAGCGGCTCCCTGAAATGGTGTGAGCATCCCACAGATCTGGACACGAGACAGGGGCCCTCCCACGCTGCTAGCGGTGACGACCCGCTAGTTAGTGCGGGATTCCAGAAGGTCCACATGACCAAACTGGCTGAAATTGGCTCTTTTTTCAACGCTACCTCGCGTGCTGGACTTGCATGCAGCTGCAGATTGGTTGAGCCCCGTTTGAAACGTGGGGTTGGAAGCCAAAGAGACCAGGCCCATCTTCAATGCCCAAGGTGTGTGTGTGGGGGGGGTTCACCGTGGAGGAGGGCCATAACCACAACAAATAAGACCATGAAACTGTGAAAAAGAGATGTTTATATCCACCAGGCCCGCCTGACCTGACCACCCAGTTGGTCTTGTTGTCCCGCTCTCCGCCGATTACCGCAGGCCGTTATTGAACAACACAGCGGTTCCCAGAATAAGCAAACCCCAATTTTGATAACCCCCCGTGAATTTGACATAGAGGGAGTGGAGATGGATCATCACGGGAGATGGGGAAAATCTGGGTGGACTGGGCCCTCTCCGCAGTCCGGACCCTGGTCCTAGTCCGGTCAGAGCGCGGGAGAGCCTCCCCGACCACCACCACCACCGGGCATTGGTTGTGACCAGCGGGTCGGGCGGACATGAAAGAGGGAGGAGAAGAGGAGGGTGTTTGTTTGTGAGGGTATATATTACGGCAGCTGCCTTGTTTTTTCTTTTCGGTTCACTCTTGATGTCTTGAACTCGTCACATTGTTGTGTTATTATTCCTCGGTCTTTTGACTCTTCTCGAACAGAACGTGAATATCTCTCAGTGAATAATATCTCGTCTTTCGAGTCACAAAGCAAACATATTCACTTATTATTCATCCCACCTTGTCATCTGAGCACCTCAAGCTTTTTGACAGCAAGTCACCTCCATCACCCTCCGAGCTCAAATCCGACGGTGTTTACGACTCGAGCACAGTTGCCCGCCAGTAGCTCCCGCCACAACCGTTCATCCCATCCGCGACCAGCAAAGTCACCAAAGCCCTCGAGACCTACCAACTTCCCCGCCTGTCTTCACCGGCTCCCTTCGCAGGCACCGCTTCTTTCCACGTTTTGTTTTGTTGTGGAACCAGCCGAGTTAGTAGCGCCTGCAAAGAGCACAAAGTTGAATCAAGCTTCACTCGGCCGTTTGCTCTCTTGCCCAGGGAAAGACCCTGAAAAGAGTCAGGGGGAATCCGGTGACAGCCAGCAAGGGGGAAAAGGCTTATCTTAAGCTTCGCGACCAGCCCAAAAACCCCACAAAGGGACCGACGATTTTCACTTTTCGGAGCAACAGAAACCCCAATTCACCCTACCCATTAACCCACCGACCTTTTTAAAGAGCAGCATTCACCTCTTCACATTCTTTCAAAATGGCAGCCTCCTCGTCCTCAAACCCCAACCGGTTCTCCTTCCGCAACCCGTTCCAGTTCTTGATTTCCTCTTCCTCTTCTTCGACAGACAACGACAGCGCCAACAAGAAGGAAAGCAGCAGCAACAGCCGACCAACCAGCAGAAGACTAAGCAGACCCAGCTCCCCTACTTCCTCAAGCTTCTGGTCATCCCTCTACCGAAAAACATCCTCTACCTCAACCAACACCGCAATGTCCACCGCCACCATCCCCTCCGCCATGTCGGACACCACCACCACCGCCACCACCACCACCACCACCACCACCCCACCAACCCTCTCCTCCTCCCCCGCCACCTCAACAGACAGCTACTTTCCCCCCGTCACCACCCCTCCCACCCCCACCGACAACAACAACAACAACAACAACAACCTCAAGCCTGCTGCTACCCTCACCCAATGCCACAATTGCGGCTCAACCACCTCCCTCGCCATTCCTACCGCCACTCCCCCCGCTGCACCAAAGAGGACAGCCACAACCCCCATAATTCACGTCCAACCCCCCGTCCCGGGCCGCAAGCAAATCAGAGTCGACCCCCTCTCTACCCAATTCCCCAAGCCGGCCGCCGAGTTGAGCGTGGAGGAGCTCCTGGCAAGGAAGCCAGGCCGGTGGACGCTGACGCAGTGGGTGGAGAAGCAAAAGCTGGTTGATCAGCAAGAGGAGGAGAGGGAGAGGAGAAAGGTGCAGGAGGATGCCGAGAAGAGGAGGAGGGAGATGGAGGAGGTAAAGAGGGAGTTGAGGGCTTTGGCCAGTGGGTTGTGATCAATCATCGTTTGGTGGAGGGCAAAAAGGAAAAGAAAAAGAAAAGAAGAGATTGGATGGAGAGGTTGCGAAACCTGGAAACTACTGGATCGAGATTTGGGTGGGTGGGTAGATGGATGGATGGATGAATGGGTTGCAAAGCCCGCCGCCGCAACTGGATTCTGAGACTGGATGGATGGGTAGATGAATGGGATGGGATATTTGCGTTGGATCGTTGACACGGAAAATTGGCGGGTCTATTAATACCACAACACACAACAAGCGGCGGGATTTGTGGTATTTTGCTTTTTTTCTTTCACTGTCTCCTGAGAGAAAAAGGGCATTCTATAGCGGGCGTTAATTTGTCATTTTTTTTGAGATATCTGGGTTTGGGCGTGTAAATGGATGGGGCTTTGTTTTAGTCTGTAAATGTGTATGTTGTATAACCAACCTACAGAGCAGAAACACATGATAAAAAACATGGTGTAATAAACCAAATTTGTCATTCGTAATGCTTGCTGCCATGTGACTTTGTGCTTTGCGTGTGTGTGTGTGTGTGTGTTGGGGGGGGGGGGGAAGAGACCTTGACCTTGACTTGAGACGTTGGACCTGAGACGAACTATGCGCTTTGAACTCGGGTGGGGAGCAAGGTACTTGCTGGTAAGTTGGGGATTGGTTTTAAGAGAGTCTCTTGGACAGGGTAACGCCGTAAACAAGGCTTCCGATAAAGGTGCCTAGGTTCAGGAAGCTGGACACGCCGTGGAGGATGCCGAATTGCTTGTTGAGGGCTTGCATTTCTTGCGAGTGGGGAGGGGAGTCCCAGGATTTTTTGCCGTCTTTCTTTTCTGTTTTTTTTTTGTGGCATTAACAATTACCGAGTGATATATGTAATTGTAGGCATGGAGTACACATACCCTGGAGCTTCCTCTCATCCATGACCTTGGTCGTGAGAGGACCGACGAAGGCGAGGTTGGCGAGGGCGGACACAAAGGTGGCGGTGACGGGGACGAAGGTGGAGTAGCGGTTGGAGGAGTGAAGGAAGCCGGTGATGCCGCCGGTGATGCCGAAGGGGTTTTGGCTGGCGGGGTAGGTGATTGCTAGGACGAGGGGGAGGGCGGTTTGGATTGTGAAGTAGATTGGGAAGAGGGAGGACATGAGGGAGGAGAACTGGGGGCGGGGGAGGACGCGGAAGGAGACGATGCCGCCTACGAAGGTGTGGAAGAAGGTTGTGCCGAGGAGGAAGCCATAGCTGAGAGGGGGGGAGTTAGTTGAGGGTGATGTATGTGGTGAACTGGTGGGGAGGAGTGGTGGTACCTGATGATGTGGTACGGGGCGGGGGAGAAGAAGCCCATTTTGAGAGTTGTGAGGTTTTGGTTGTAAGGATAGGGAGGAAGATGCTAAGAGATGAGAGGAACAGTGTTTTGGAGAGATATTTATGAACGGGCTCACAGACAGCTGAGGTCAAGACTCTCTGTGAGGGGCATGATCTTATCAATCAATCATTGTGCAGCTCAAGCGTGCACTTGGCTGTTGGCCTTTGTGGAGAAGCTGGTGGTTGGGGCCATGGCCCGAGCGTCTTTTTGTTGCAGGCAGGAGGGTTTAAGTGCTTGGTGACGCGAAGACATGTGCCCACGCGCGAGAGGGAAGGCAGCAGCTGCCATCCCAGACCCAGATCAACGCGCGTGGGTCCTTTGGCGATGCTGCCTGGAGATCGTGTCAACGGCCATATATTCGAACATCTGACATTGAAACTCATGAATTCATCTTAATTCTTCCATTTTCACTCCAGTTGATGAGCAAAAACACACAGAATGGCCGACAAGGAATCCACAGTCTACGTCGTCGACCTAGGCGAGTCAATGGCTGATTGCCATAACGGCCGCGTCGAATCTGATCTCGATTTTGGTATGCGCTATGTTTGGGACAAGATTTCAGATACCGTCGCGACAAGCAGGAAGACGTGGACCATAGGTTTCGTTGGCTTCAACACCGATGAGACAGAGAACGAACTCGCGGATAAAGATAAGCTCGAGGGCTACGATAACATCTCTGTGTTGCAGCCCATCGGCCCCATGAGCATGACGGAGCTCAGAGAATTGCGCTCCAAGGTCCAGCCGTCCAGGAGCTATGGTGCCGATCCGGTTTCTGCTGCTGTGGTGGCACTGAAGATGCTTGAGAAGTACAATCCAAAGCACAAGATCAAGCGGAGGGTAATCCTTGTCACCAATGGCGAGTCGAACATTGATGATGAAGAGCTGGACCACATCGCTGCGGTATTCAACGAGTTCAAAGTTGAACTGATTGTGATGTATGTGTCTGTTTCCTGACGACAAGAGACAGCGCTAGACTGACATTCTCTTAGTGGTATCGATTTTGACGACGCTGACTACGGCTTTAAGGAAGAAGACAAGTCTACCAACAAGAAAAACAACGAAAAGGCACTTCAGCAACTGGTGGAAAAGTGCAATGACGGCGTGTTCGGCACCATGCAACAGGCCGTGGATGAGCTGTCAATACCTCGGATTAAGCCAGTACGACCATTCAAGGCCTATGATGGGCCCTTGACCCTCGGAGACCCAGACAAATATCCAAGCGCCATCAGCTTCCACGTGGAGCGTTACTACAAGACCAAACGCGCTTCCGCGCCATCAGCAAGCACCGTCGTGGTCAGCAACAATAACGGATTCAGTCAATCACAGACCTACAAAGACGAAGATGGGGATTCTGAGATGGGCGGAGCCGAGTTCTCCGGTGTCAAGCAAATGCGCACCTACAAGGTCAACGATCCCGATGCCCCAGGAGGCAAGAGAGACGTTGATTTTGAAGAGCTTGCAAAGGGCTACCAGTATGGCCGCACGGTGGTTCCGTTTGGCGAGTCCGACCTGTCCATCACAAAGTACTCGACCAAAAAGTCATTCACCATCATCGGGTTCGTCCCCTTTGACAGTTACAATCCCTTTATCAACATGGGCGAAACGGGTCTGATTGTGCCCCAGAAAATGAACGAGGAGGCCGAATTGGGACTTTCGGCATTCATTCATGCTCTCTACGAGGCTGACTCGTATGCTGTTGCCAGATATGTGCAAAAGGATGAGGCTGCAGTTCAGATTCTTCTTCTCAAGCCCAACACTGGTCTTGAGGATGAGTTTGAGTGCCTTTACGATGTACCTCTGCCCTTTGCCGAGGATATCCGAAGTTACCAATTCCCGCCCTTGGACAAGGTGCTTACCGTGTCTGGGAGGGTGCTCAAGGAGCATCGGCTGTTGCCAAACGATGATTTGAAGGACGCTGTGAGCGACTTTGTTGACGCAATGGATTTGTCGAAGTATGATGTTGATGAGGATGGGTATGCTTTTCGCTCCATGTATCCCGGCAGTTTACTAACACGTCGCAACAGAAAACCAGTAGACTATGCACCCGTAGACGAGGTGTACAACCCAATCATCCACCGGATGAACCAGGCCATCCGAGCCCGGGCTGTTGACCCAGACTTGCCCATCGGGCAACCAGCCGAGATTCTGTTGAGGTACTCCAAGCCTCCAAAGAAGCTCCTCGAGAAAGCCAAGCACGAAATCGGCAACCTGATCGATGCCGCAGAACTCAAGAAGGTTCCCGAAAAGGCCAAAGGTCGCTTCGGCAAGAAAGACGCCGTCAAGCCCCTCTCCGGCCTCGACATTGACTCCCTCCTTGGCGGTCAACCCAAGCGCGCTGCCATCTCTTCAGAAAACGCTATTCCCGAGTTCAAGCAGATGCTCGCCGCAGCTGAGGACGACGAGACGATCGAGAAGGCTGTCAAGCAAATGGGCGAGATTGTTCGGAAGCTCATCAAGGACAGCTTTGCTGATGTCTTTTACTCGCGGGCTGCTGAGAATTTGGGAGTTATGAGGGAGGAGTTGCTTGGGTTTGAGATGCCGATGCTGTACAACAAGCTTCTGAGAGCGCTGAAGAAGAGCTTGCTGAGTGGTGAGCTGGATGGTGACCGGAGGGAGATGTGGTATAAGCATATTGTGGGTGGTGGACTGGGGCTCATCACGAAGGAGGAGCTGGATGTTTCGGATGTGACCGAGGAGGAGGCCAAGGCTGTGAGTACATGGTTTTTCCATTCTGAATGAGGATTTGGGCTAACATTGGAATAGTTTGCGAAGTGAGCATTGGTGAGCATGGAGGCATGATGTTGTAATGATATTTATTGGTGGAAGATCGATCGGATCTGTTCTAGGCAGTTTCGGTGAGCGAGGAGTTTTTGGTCGAGTGTGAAATTACTCGCCCTCTTTGTTGCAAACACAACCTGAATATTGCAGGATCTGAAGGTAGCAACTATTCCAGAGGGCAGAGGGGTCTAAAATGATTGAGGTACGTGTGAACTTTGGGCACTGAGAAGACCTTAGCTAGCTAGCAGTCACATGTCCAAGTTGTTCTTCATCCTGCTTGCCAGCATTCTGTTGTATAGAGTGTGGTCGTGAAAAAAAGTCGAAAAAACTCACCGGTCAAACCCAGAAGGAGGTGGCCGGCTACTAACACCTCGGTGGTTTTATTTCGAATCGAACTCGGGGGATATCGGTTGCAAGCCCCCGGCGGGGAGGGGTTGACAGCTCCAATATCCTTACCATTTGACCTGACCACAAGGGCGCCCTGGCAAGGATACTGGAGCTGTTGGGAGGTGTGTGATTGGAATGGTATATATACTGTGTCTTGCTTCTGCCTTCATGTAGACTGGGAGTCGCCCGAGATGGGAGGGGAGCATGATACGATCTTACAGGCGATGTTTCCTTTTTTTTTTTCCATTTATATTACAATTATATTGCCTATCTTCTACAGCTAGTGTTCCTTCCCTTGAGGCCATCTTCTTCGAAACAGGTAATCTTCATCATCGAGCCTGACCCCCAACTTCTCGTCGGTCATGTCATACTCCCAGGACTTGAACGCTTCCCATTTCCACAAGTTGAGAGCAGAACCATCATCATCATCATCATCATCATCATCATCACTCTCGCGTTTCACTCGCTTGTCTTCCCCAGTTTGGTACGTCTCCCGTTTGATCAGTATCTCGTTTTCCCCAGCTCGTCGGACCAACCTGCCCCAAACAGCAAAGTCGTACTTTTTGGGTCTCTCTGGTATAGACTCCCTCTCTGGATGATAGTCCTCCCTCGGGAGATCATAGGCCCCCCCTCTCGAGATAATAGTCTGGTTCTGAATCATCCTTCTTGTCTGTAGGGCAATATGGACTGCCAAACGTGAGGTGGATCTTGCAGCGGAACATGACCTCGGCGTTGGGCTTCCCGTCGCCGGTGATGAAGATGGGAGACAGGGAGTGATATTCTCGAGAGGCAATCCTGTAGCGGAATGGTACGTCCGGGTTGCGTCTTGAAGCGTAGATCCAACCACCAGTTATCCGTAGCTCGGTGCCACGAGTTCCGTACTCGTCCCTTATGAACTTTTCGAAGCGATGGCTTACATCCTTGAAGTCCCATAGGCCGCTGTTTCCGGTTTCTAGATCTGTGGGGTGGGTGTCAAAGTACGTGAACCATCTTGCGCCGCCGGTGAGGTTGCTGGACTGGGCGAGGAAATCGGTGACGAACTTGTTGATGCTGTCTTTGTCTCTGTTGTCCATTTTGATCTGACCAGTGGGAGTATGTTGCAGGATGAGGGAGAGAGTTAGATGCCTATGTGAGAAAGGGGGAGAAGATATGATTCTCAAAGAAGGCTTGGTTTGTGTACATGAGGCAGGGGGGGGATACATGTCTTTCTCAGGGTTAAGTATGGGTCATCAGGGTTAGTTGCGTCACTTTCTCAGAGGTTTGGTCTTGCAACCTAACGGATTGCTCTTCTCTCTCTTCTTTTAACTGTACACAAACAAAACAAAACCACAGCAACATGAATCCAATTACTCGCAAGCCGGGGATTGAAATCCTGAGTTTTATCTTCTACTTCTTCGCCATATCGGACGACCCCAAACGAATGTATGAGCCCTGGCTCGACTGCTTCACTGAAGATGCCGAAGTCACCATGGGCAAGAAGGTTGCGAGAGGCCGGGAAGGTGAGCAATGCCTCCCTGCATACATATGTTGGAAGACATAGGCTAAATGGACTTCCAGAGCTACGGGAGCTGAGACGCGGCATGTGGAAGGATGTAAGGTCAAGAAAGCACCACGATTTCAGCAACTTCTACGCCGCTGCTTCTGATGCATTTACAAAGTTCAAAAGGGAACAAGGAGAGGACGAGGTTGAGGTCATGTTCAGCGGAAAGGTTACTTTGGAGGTGGTCTCTGGCGAAGGGCCTGAAACCGAGCAAAAGGTGGTGGATTGGGCGGCGCAGGGCACGTTGGTTCGACAAGACTGGGAAAGCGAGTCTGGAGGAGCCGAGAAGTGGAAGTGGGCGAGGTATAGAGTTTGGCTGCAGAGTTGAGACAGTCTGAGGAGGTTGACTTCTCAGCATATCGTATAGAGGATCGGGACAACGTGGATGACTTGTTGGGGCAGACTCCAAACTCCACCGCCTCTCTCTCCAACTCGGAGTTGTTCATGTGCCCCTGCTTCTGGCTTCTCCACCTTTCCACGCAAGTATTGGCTTGTCGGTGTAAGGGGTGGTGGTTTAGTAAACCTATGGTGTATGCAGATGGAATCTGGCAGAAGACAGAGTCTGAGTGAGAGAGATGATTCTTGAGATGAACCCGACTGGCAGGTGCATCGTCTGGTCATTTGGGAGGAATGTAGTCGTTATGGACGAACTCAACTGATAAGATATGACGTGCTGCGGTGAGTCGCAGGTGGAGTCAGAGGGGGAATGCGCTGGGCGAAAGGCGGGGTGACCAAGAGGGTACTTGGTCGACTCATGCGGCATCGGGGGGATCACCACTTGCTCGATGGTTGAAACCACAATGCCGGGTTGACATAGGTAACGGTTATTGTTACCGATTTCCATTTTTTGCACTTGACCAAGTCACCAGTCCTCTCGTCCGTCATCACGGTACAGTGCTCCAATCCGAGCCCTGAATGCATGATGGATGACCTTGACCACGGGCATTATGGAATGACGTATGTACCTAGGCAAGGACTGGAGGCCCGGAATCAAACGGGGCTGCCGGCACTGCTTGGACACACACCTCAAAATAACCCGACACTTTCCAGCTCTCACGTGGTGTATTTGCTTGACACATATGACATCCGCCCTTTCTCTGGGAATTCACAAGTGAGGCGGCACTGCACAAATACCGTCTCGGACCGCAGAGCGCGTACAAGATAAACCCCGCCATTTGCTGGGCTTCTGGCTGATAGCGTGGTAGCGCTGGGCTTATCCCATGCTTATCTTGGGGGTTCATTGGCGCTATTCCCGTCAGGGCTGAAGTACCCCAGCATGGAGTGGATTTCCCTTGCTGCAGAACCCCACCAGCCCGCGCAAGGGACCGAACCACGAGCCACACACCCCCTCCCCCCTTTCCTGGGCCCTTGTGCTGCACCCGGCATTCACAGGTGCACCGTCTGTCAACCTTGATCCCAGCTGGCTGTGGCCGTCCTCGCTCCCCGTCGAGTCACGGCCGGTCCATCCATCCAGGCACGGCCAGTTCATCCAGCACTGTTTATCCGTACCACACACCATAGCTAGGACGGTTATTCCATCCATCGTCTTGCATCTCTTCTTCTTTCTCCTTTCATACAACACCAGATACCAACATCAACACCAACCAGAACCACCACCACAACCTTCTTCTCTCTTTCTAGTCTTCTTCTGTTATTCCCTCTTCCTTTACTAGTCTCTTGATAATACACCCCACTGCATGCTGCATACTACCTCTCTACCTTATCGTAATACTTATAGAAAAAGGCTGGCTTTTTGTTTCGCCCGTGTCAGAAGACCTCACTCGCTTCCTGTGTTGGACAGCGCCTCTCTCTGGGATCTTCCGCTCCTTTCTTTGTCCTTCTCCTCTACGACCGACACTCCGACCGACCGAGGCGCCTACGCCATCGTTGAGCCGTTGATAGTCTAGACAGCCCGAGCGCGCATCTACACTACAACCAACACACAAAGAGTCACCCCGAAGCACCTGTCATACTTCGATCGCAACTCCTTGTTGCACGCGTACATACACTTGTCAGCAACGACCGAACAGATATCGAGACTACCGCCGGTGCCTTGACTTGAATACATACTGTTCGCTTTACTGCTGATATACCTTAATTACCCTTCGGCCGGCACCTTCTTCGTCCAAGCGTTGAGGGGTGTCAGCTATCTCGTTACGCGAGCGGTATAACTGCTCGCTTGACTTCTGGGTCGCCATTCATGCCAGGTCTGTGTTTTGTCATGTCCTGATGGTATTGGCTTGCATTTTGCCCATGCTCTCAGATACCCCTGAACCCCCCTGTGTTGTTCTACAGAGCGCAAGCTAACTGGGCGCATCCAAAAGTCTCCAAGAAAGACCGGAAGAATGGCAAAGAAGGCGGCGGAGTGGTCGCAGCGGTGACAAAACAAGGTGCCAAGTTCACGTGGGTTCCCTCTACCCTGGTAAAGAAGAGCAAGAGCCTGGACACAGGAAGCTGGAAAAGGAGCGATTCGGGAACCTAAGGATCTACAAGGCTGACCACTTTAATTACATCAGTAATGGGAATGGCACCGGCACCACTAAAGGATCATCCAGTGCCTCACCTGTGATCTCTCCAGAGATCAAACCAGCTAGTGTCTCGTCCAACGAGAACCCAGTTGCGTCGCCCCTCTTGGATGCTGCCTCGACGGCATCATATGCGACGAGCACCTCGTTGAACACCAGGGAATGGACTCGGGGGATCTCCGCAGGCATGGCCGGTTCCCCGGGAAACCTCATCAGCTTAGTCGGCGAGTCTCCGCCGACGGCGCCTTCCTCCTATGAAGATCCCCGCGGCATCCCGTCAGGCTGGTCCTCGCCGAGACCCTCGGTGGGCTATCACCCGCCTTCGGCCTCTCCCCCGCTTGCAGGAAGACGTCCCTTGAGCTTCCACGTGGACAACAACTATTATTCACCCCCAGACACCCACAGCCATCTTGGATCGATCGCGGCAGCTAGGCGCGGCTCCATGCATTCCAACTACGCCCATAGAGCTGTTTCGAATCCGCCTTTGCCTCATCAGCCCCAGGCTCATTTCTACGGTGCCCCCGAAATCGACCTTGACTTACAGTCGCATTCCGGGATGAAGGCGGGAGAAAAGGGCTACTATTGTGGATTCGACACCCTTCCTTTGCCGAATACCGACCCTGCCAGCAGCAAGTCCAATGTCGTCCTTGCCGGCTATGAAGGTGGCCTCGAGATCCTCACCGTTGGAAAACGGGAGGTCGAGACTGTTGCTAACCTGAAAGGGCTGCGTGGCGGTGTCTACCATGCCAAAATCCTTCCCTGGATGCCGCATGAGTCGGATCTTTTCCCGTTGGTCGCAGTCGTTATTCATGGGCCGAATCTGCCCGCGCCTGCTCCCGCTATCAACGTGGAAGGCGATTATGATGCGGTTTCTGCCGAAAGATCGGAGGCCATGACCAACATCACGAGCCCTGACCCGTCCTCGAGAGAGAGCGTCACGGGCAGTCGCCCGGCGCCCGGATTTGCCGAATCTTATTACACCTCTGTAGAGGTCTACTCTCTCAAGACAGGCCGCCCGGTGAGCGTTCTTCTCGAGGCGCCAAAGGTGCCCCTCAAGATGCCCATCACAAGCGCAGCATTCAAGGCACCTCCTCCTACCGGTGCCTTCCACATTCATGCGGAAGGCGGCAGTATTGTGGTGTCGTCGGGAGTTACCGGAGAATGCTGGATCTATCGGCAGGCACCCGTCGTCGCTGATCAGCCGCTGCACTTCAGATGCCACGGCAAGGTTTGGACGACTCTCCAGCAGCCGCTCAAAGGAGAGCCTGGCCAAGAAAACGAGCGAGGCCGGTCACCAGTTCCACCACGACCGAGACCTCAGGTTGCCATCGTCAGCGTCAGTTCCAGATGGATGGCATACTGTCCTGCTACGCCGTCCTCACAGATAGCACTGCGTGCTTCGGTTCCCGTTCTCATTCACGGCCGCGCCCCTGGGTTGACGTCCGTGACTCCCCCTCAGCTGCCCCAGGCGAATGCGGATCTCGACCTGCCGCTTTCCGAGAGCGTGGTCAACAAGCTCATGCGCGACGCCACGCAAGAGCTGATTCAAGGTGCGAAGTGGGTTGGGAAGCAGGGCTTACAGGCTTGGAACAATTACTGGAACCCCCAGCCTTCCCAGACACCGAGGTCACCAACACAGGCCCCTCAGAACTGGGGCCTGGGCGCCTCACCACCTCAGTTCCCTCCCACACATGGTGCTGTGACGCCACCTGTCTCCAAAGAGCCAGGTCTTGTGTCTGTTTTGGACATTGATAGTCTTGGGCCATCCAGCAACCTCCATCCCGTCACTACGTTCACCATTCCTCTTGGGTGCAGCTTCCTCTCACTATCACCTTCAGGGCTTTTTCTGTTCAGCGCGAGCAGCAAGGGCGACGTCCAGACGGTGTGGGATTTGATGCGGGTTCAGAACACCAAGTCATCGCCTCTCCAGGCTACTGGCTCACCTGTCGGAGGTCCACGTGTGCGTCAAGTTGCCCAGTTCTCGCGCATGACGGTTGCTCGTATTGTTGAACTGGCCTGGACCCAGCCCCATGGTGAGCGTGCTGCCATGGTCACTGAGCGCGGCACCGTTCACCTTTTGGATCTTCCGTCGGGTGCCTTTTCCTGGCCGCCTCCGCGTCGCCGACTTCCCGAGGAGACCAAAGCTGCTGTTCCAGAAGGCTCGACTTCGGCTGTTTCGATGGCGACAAACGCCTTGAGCTCTGTCCGGGAAGCCGCCCGCCCGCTGATCAATCGCCAGCGTCGGAGCAACTCGAACACCCCAGCCTTTGCAGGTGCTGCAGAATATGCTGCTCATGGTGGCAAGGTGATTGTTCACGGCATCAGCCACTCCCTGGGCAAGACTGGAAACGCAATCAGCCAGCTCAGACACACCGGAGACAACAGAGTTTCATTGCCAAACTCTTCCGTGCTCCCCGAGCCCGGTTGCGTAGCCTGGGTCGCCAAGCGTGACCGCTCTCTCTCTGTCTTGGGAGGGGGTCAGGTCAGAGTATTCCAGAGCAAGAGGTCTGGTGCCCACGGCAAGCGGGGACAGCGGCTCTCTAGGTACACAGATCATCAGCTCCCGTTGCTGCCTGACGACTCCATAGCTCCAGCGGTGAAGCGCATTTTGGATCCCGATGAGTATTTGGATTTCTCCGAGCGGGACCTGGACCCCTTCAACAACACTCTGGTACTGAACCAGACCAAGCCTAGCTTGCGGGCCCGGTATGGCGACGTTGAGTCGTCTATTCCTCAGGCCGAGATTGAGTCCAGCGCCCCGTACCAGCCTTTCCACACCGACAGACGCATCGCCTTGTATGAGATGACGTCCTCCTCCAAAGCCAAGTCCTTGGAGATCACGTCCATTTTGGCCGAGACTCAGTTGGAGGACACTCAGGCAGAACCATCAGCACCGCGCAAGAAGAAGGGCAAAGCCGCTCGTGCGACTCCGCCCCCTGTTGAGGAGGCTGCTGCTGCTGCTGATGAGGCTGCTGCCGCTGATGAGAACGACGCCGATGATACCTGGGTGTTTGGCCTGCCGATCAGCGCCACCAAGATCGATCTCGGTCTGCCCCATCTGCCAGAGGACGAGTCATTCAACATTGACCTCGAAGCCTCGCGTGCCTTGCCCGCCTCGGCGATGGAAAGGGTCCTTTTCCGCGGGGATGACGACACGCAGATTGTGATTACCACAAGACGCAGACGGGGAGCAGGTGGTTCGGGGAATGGTGAGGACGGGTTTTTTGAGGATGATTGCGAGGTGTTGGATTTTGCTGATCAGCGGGTTTGAGCGAATGAAGCGAGGAGTTTTTTTTGGGGGGTGGGGGGGGGGGGGGGAGGAAAGGGATTTTATAGATGGGTCAGCAGCGGCAGCAACATGCGGGAGTTGAGACCGGGTTTGTGTTGCTTTTGTGTGTGGGATTAAACATCAATAACTACTACTAACTCTACTCTTGGGGGTTGGGCGTTTGGGTAGGTTTGGCTTTTGTGTCTATTTTGGACAGAGGGGTCAGGCTTTGGGGGTTATGGGTTGGGTTTGGAATAGGGGCCTGTTACTGAGGAGTGACGGCGAGTGGAGGGTGGGCATGATAACAACAACAACCAGAAACCGACAAACACCAATCAAGTAGATAGTTTTTGTCCCGATGAAAACGAGGATGAAAGTGAGTAGTCGGGATTTTTTTTTTTTTTTAGTTGGACATTGATCCTCAATAAAAAGGATGGTGTTTGACAAATCTTTTTGGGTTCCAATATGAAAGTGATTGTGTATGTGGTGAAGGGGGGAAAGGGAAAGGCAGATATGGACTGTGATATTGAGATGGTGATGCATCAACAAGTAGCGGGTTTAGCTCAGTTGGGAGAGCGTCAGACTGAAGTCAACTTTGGTAATTTACAATCTGAAGGTCATGTGTTCGATCCACATAAACCGCACTCATCCTCTATTTTTTTTTGGAGATTTTTTGGTAGTGGTGTGGGGAGCACGGAGGTATAGTAGTGGAGTTGGGGAAGGGGGGTGGTGATGGATGGGATATCCCAGTAGCTTTGTACGAGAGAGTGAGTATTGACATGGTTTTTGATATAATGGCCGACAGATTGCATTGGTTGATATGAGACAATATGTGGCTCTTGGTGTGTTTTGATCTTGCTCTTATGTTGGAGGAGCAAGAGTAGGCAAGGTATTTTATTAGTCTTTTTTCCTTTTTTTTTTCACTTTCTCTCTGTCTCGTTATTTCCCACTTGTTGCTGTTGCTGTTGTTGTTGTTGTTGTTGTCCCAACAAGATGGTTGTGGTGTATTATAGATAGATAGATCCCTTCCTTTTCTCATAAACTGCCTGCCACCCTGGGCTAAATCAACCCATCCTTCTTCACAGTGATAATGGCATCCTCCTCCTCCTCCTCCAACAATGCAAAACATATAGCGTAGTGTTTGATTCAAGACTTCTTCTTGGCCGCCTCCTCGGCCGCCTTGGCGGCCTTGAGGGCCTTTTTGCGGTTGGACCTGATCATGACGATGGAGAGGAAGGAGCCGACGACGGCGGAGCCGAGGAGGACGAGGATGACGGGGAGACGGATGGCCCAGACGCGGGGGGGGAAGAAGTTTTGGAGTGGGTGGTCGGAGTCTACGAAGGGCTGTTGGGTTTTTGGATTATTAGTGATGGGTCTGGGGTGAGGGGGTTTAAGAGGAAAAGGGGAGAAGGGGGGGAATGAAGGAAGTAAGTACCATAAGAAGAGTCCAGATTGTGTAGTAGAGGAAGACGGCGGAGGCTGCTGCTAGCATGGCGAGGCCGGCGAGTTTGTCGAGCTGGAGATTAATCAGTGTTAGATAGGGCGGGTGGTGGCAAAGATGGGGAGGAAGACAGACCATTGTGAGATTGGGAAAATAAATAAATAAGGGGTGTAAAGGAGTGAATTGAATTGAATTAAACGTTAAATCGTCAAGGTTGTTGACGGTGGTGGACGAGGCAAGTGGTGATGGTGTTGATGGTTGGTGGTTGTCGCAAAGTTCGGGACAGCAACGCTGAAGCTCAGTTCCACGGTGGCCTGGCCAGTGGCGCGTCAGGGGTTCGCGTTTTCTGGGGGGGGGGGGAGCTTCCCGGCAGGCAAGAAGAGAAAAGTAAAAAGTGGGGCCAACGGTTAGTGCAACTGTAGGTGCAGGTTGCGCTTGAGGACGGAAACTGTTGCAAACACAGCCTTGTTAAACTTTCCATCGGCAACGAAATTGCCAAATCGACATCGCTTTTCTGCGAAACTGAGAAACAAATTGGCGCGCGAGAGTTTATCAGGGACAAATCATTGGAAAACACGCGTGTGGAAAAAAGAAAAGACGATGGCGACACCGGAGAGGGAGGAGAGCGCCTCGATTACGCGACAGGTTGAGAGGTCGCCTAGTCCACGCCAGTCGAGGTCAAGATCGAGATCGGTGTCGAAATCAAAATCGCCGACGCCGAGGAGAGAAAGGGAGATGTCACAGGATTCTCGAGGACGATCGCCGACGCCGAGGAGAGATGGGGTTGATGAAAGGTCGCCGTCCATAGAGTCGGGAGAGCACCGCCATGAGGAGAGGTCTAGATCCAGATCACCGATGGAGAATGGGGAGGTGCACTCACGCGATGCTTCCCCTCAGAGATCCCCGACGCCGGCCCATTCCCGCCGTCAATCGCCAGCGCGCAGAAACCGATCCTTCTCTCCACGGGACCGACGGTCTTTTTCGCCGAGGGACAGAGATGATGAGCGCCGCTATCCAATTAGGGATCGGAGCCCCCCTTCGAGACATCATGGCCGGTCGCCGCCTCCGAGAAGACATTCCCCGCCCCCTCGCCGCGATGGGCCGGATCGGTACCGCCCTGCTCCTGTTGCGCCGGCCAAGAGAGAGCGCACCCCCCCTCCTCCTGCGCCGCCGGCGAAGACGGAAGAGGAAAAGCTTGAGGATATGAGGGCTGAATACCAGAAGCTGCTCAACCTTCGCAGTCAGGGTGTGTATCTGCCACCGCAGAAGCTGCGCGCTTTGCAGGCTGCTATTACGGACAAGACGAGCAAGGAGTATCAACGCATGGCTTGGGAAGCGTTGAAGAAGTCCATCAATGGCTTGGTCAACAAGGTCAACACGGCGAATATCAAGTTTGTGGTTCCCGAGCTGTTCAATGAGAATTTGATCAGGGGCAGAGGTTTGTTTTGTCAGAGTCTGCTCAAGGCGCAGCATGCTAGTTTGCCGTTTACTCCTATTTACGCTTGTCTGGCTGCCATTTGCAACACGAAGCTGCCGCAGGTTGGGGAGTTGCTGGTCAAGAGGCTGATTATGCGGTTCCGGAAGGCTTTCAAGAGGAATGACAAGGCGGTTTGCTTGTCGAGTACCATGTTTATTGCGCATTTGGTCAACAATCAAGTTGTTCACGAGAACCTCGCGGCGCAGATGCTGCTGCTGTTGCTGCGGAAGCCGACGGACGACAGCGTGGAGATTGCGGTTGGGTTGATGAGGGAGGTGGGGTTGTTTCTGGAGGAGATGTCGCCTACGATGGCGCACGCCGTGTTTGATGAGTTTAGGCGCATCTTGCACGAGGCTGATATCGACAAGAGGACGCAGTACATGATCGAGGTGCTGTTTCAGGTCAGGAAGGACAAGTACAAGGACAATCCGGTGATCAAGGAGGAGTTGGACCTGGTGGAGGAGGAGGATCAGATCACGCACAAGATTGGGCTGGATGAGGATATCAAGACGGAGGATACGCTGAATATTTTCAAGTTTGATCCGGATTGGGAGGCGAATGAGGCCGAGTATAAGAAGTTGAAGGCGCAGATTTTGGGAGAGGAAAGCGGGAGTGAGGATGAGGATGGGAGCGGGAGTGAGGATAGTGATAGTGAGGACGAGGAGGAGGAGGAGGAGACAAAGGCGATTGAGATCAAGGATCAGAGCAATGCTGATTTGGTCAACTTGCGGAGGACGATTTACCTGAGCATTCAGTCGAGTGCGGATCCGGAGGAGGCGGCGCATAAGCTGATGAAGTTGAGGTTGCCGGTGGGACAGGAGCCCGAGTTGGTGTCCATGATCGTGGAGTCATGCGCGCAGGAGAAGGTGTATCTCAAGTTTATGGGGTTGCTGGGAGAGAGGTTTGCGAGGCTGAATCGGATGTGGATGGAGCTGTTTGAGGAGTCGTTTATGAAGTACTATACGACGATTCATCGGTACGAGACGAACAAGCTGAGGAATATCGCGAGGTTCTTTGGGCATTTGTTGTCGTCGGATTCGATTGGGTGGCATGTTCTTTCGATCATTCACCTGAACGAGGAGGAGACGACGTCGGCGAGCCGTATTTTCATCAAGATTCTGTTTGAGGACTTGCAGGAGAATATGGGCACTGTCAAGCTCAAGACGAGGCTGTCGGAGGATATCTTGAAGCCGAGCCTGGAGGGCCTGTTCCCGCACGACGAACCGCGCAACATTCGCTTCTCGATCAACTACTTCACTTCGATCAAGATGGGCTACCTCACCGACGAGATGAGAGAGTTTCTGCAGAACATGCCGAAACCAGCGCTGCCGGCACCACCTGCGGACTCAGACTCGGAGTCAGTGTCCAGCTACTCATCTTATTCGTCTTACTCTTCTCGGTCTCGTTCTCGGACACCACCGCGCAAGGCCATCAGCAGGGGCCGGTCTCTGTCTCGCACTCCGCCTCGTCGGGCGAGGGACGATTCTTACAGCCGTAGCAGAAGCCGCAGCTATTCTCGTTCCGTTTCTCCCAGACGATCTATTTCTCGTTCTCCCCCACCACGTGCTGGCCGCCGCGACAGCCGGAGCCTTAGCAAGGACCGCAGCATGAGCAGAAGCCGTAGTAGGAGCTGGTCACGGTCCCCTCCGCCACGGGCTCGGAGTCCTGTGGGGAATGCCAGGGATAGGAGCTTTTCACCGCCACCCCGCCGTGGCCGCAGCCGCAGCCGTACGCGCAGCCTGTCGTATTCGAGATCTGGCTCTCCCGTTGCTGATCGGTCCACGGCTGTCGAGCGGAGGAGGGATGATTCTTACTCTGTGTAGTAGAA